TATATATATATATACACGTATTCATACATGTCTGTATATACATGAATGAAATCACTTCAAACCTCCGAATCCCTGTTCCCCCAAGGGAGCGCCTCGGACTCTGCAGCCGCGGCCCAGCGGTTTTTCCACGGCCCCCACGGCCCCAGCCCATGGCGATGAAGAGGGTTTCGGGTTTCGGTGTCTTTTTCTGACTTTGGCCGGACTTGCCGAGTTGACATGAATTTGAAAATGAGTCAAGGTCCTACGCAAGAAGCCTTCGGCTTCTGGCAGCGGCAGCGAAGACCACGGGGTGACAAGCAATATCGATGGCCCTAGACCCGTAGCTGGCCAGCACATTCAGGGTTTTTGTCAAAGTCACTCCACCGAAAGACAGAAACCCAAAACACGTTAGGTAATTTCAAGTGCGGACAGGATTGTACAGAAGCTGACGATGGGCGGGGTAGGCTTGGGCAGACTCTCAGACAGGGCAATCACGTGCAAAACACGTGAAAATAAACCAACCCGCATCGAAGAAAGGGTTTTCAATGTTCGAGCTGACACAAAACGTCCCAAGGAGCCCCTTGAAGCGGGGCGGCTCTTGCTGTTTTCCCAAGCTTTCACGTCCCAGTATGTAATGTCGCAGACGTGTCCCTCCTCGGTATAACCGTGCAGCCAACAAGCTCCTCGGCGTCCAAATCGACAGAAGTCTTTGTTTAACGCATATAGATGAGGATTGAGCACAAAAGGAGCAGAAAAGGATTTTCTCAAGCTTTAGCCACTGGCACCGGATTGGTGGGAGACACGGATCCAAAGGCCCTTATGCGCATCTGCTTGCAAGGGGTGGCCTCGCGCCACCCGGGCAAGAACTCGGGAAGCAAAACTCGGCTCTTGGAAAAGAACGCAACCACTCTCCAGCCGAACTTGCAGAGATGCAGAGAAAGTATGGATCTCCTGATCTTGCGAGATCTGCTCCAGGCTCTGGCAGTCTGAGCCCAAGCACTCCAGGAGCTCTTGGGTTTCACTCACCCACTCCAGGGTCTCTTCCCGTATCCAGGCGTGCGAAGTCCAGGGAGCACTTTCGGCCCAACGCTTGAAGCCTCGCAGGAGTTCTAAGCCACTCAGGTACAGAAAGAGGCGCGAGGCGGCGGTCACAGCACAGGCCGACGCGATGGTCTTCATCGTGCAGCGCACTATCTGCTGAATGCCGCCTCTGTCGTCATCGTCTTCTTCGAGGGCCTGCTTAATGGCTGGGATGAACCTGCCATCATACATCTCGGCCCAGCCAGCGTGAGCAGACCCGTCCGGGTCCTGCAGAATCCGAATATGGCTCCGTAGCTCCTTCAGAAACAGCAGCAGCTGCGACGCTTCCAGCTGCTTCTCAACGTAGCTCTTGACATCTGTTAGCAAGAGAGGCTCAGGTATGGAGCTCCCCAAAACCCAAGTGAATAAAGCGTTGCAGATGCTCAGTGGCTTGTCGGCCTCGAGCACATGACCTGAATCTTATCAGATGCGCGGTCCCTATAGGCTTACCTGGTTACCTCTCTTCTCACACAATTGCCAGGCCCGGGCTGACAACCAGTGCCACGCATGCAGAGAACTTTGGCCAGGTTGCCGAAGCCGCCCTGCTTGTGAGGCATGTATTGCGCCTTGCACGCAATCTCGCGAGTTACCCGTTATAGTAGCTGGCAGCAAGCAGTGATACGTATGGGCATGATCACATGCATTGCGATCTCTTTGCACTTGTCTCTTTTGGTTGCTGCGGACGACGACATCTACGACGACGAGAGCGACTACCAATGCTGCTGCTGCCACTTTCACGACGACGGCCACTACTAATACTTATGCTGACATCTACTGAGTTACTGACTAGCAGTGGTAACATTAAGCCAAAAGCGCAAACAGCAACACCAGCAAACGCGAAACATTGGCAAGCATATTAATTCATAAAAAGAAAGCCAGCAGCAGACAAAACATCAAGCACCGCCGCTACCTCAGCAGCAAGAAGAAGCAAGCCATGCCACATTGACATGAGAGCCCGGACGCAGGACCATGTAATGTGGGGTTCGGCTCGAGCGCCAGGCTACACGACTTGTTTGTTTGGGCAGCCGACGAGCAGAAATCAACCTTGATAGCTCGAAATAAATAGCAAACGTCATGGAGGCAAGCGGCTTCGACACATGTGCCAACCCCTCAAATCCCCTCAAACTCTGCAGGGCCGGCTGCAAGCAGCAGCAAAAAAATACGGTGACGACAGCAAGTGCTATGCAGTTCCTGCTGCAGCAAAAGAATAAGGACCGTCACGGCAGCTTAGTGGGAGGAACATTGAGGCTACCCAGCCACCGTGAGGGACGGCCTGCAACGAATTGAGAACGGAGGCTTCCAGTCTGGCCTGGAGAACCGAAGTGGGACTTGGACAATGGAAGTTGCCAGCTCTGTACTGGCATGCTTTTGTTTGGAGTTTCATGCATGCGAGCTTTGAGACAACAGCTAGAGATGATTGGAAAGCGCTGAAAATGGACTGCTACTCCTCTTAGTGCCACGACTGGTACCTGCACGATCCTACGGTAGTCCTATTCTGCGACGCGTATCATCATCGCATTATAATGCCCTGGATGTGAGAATCTGCTTCGGCCCTGCGAGAAATGTTGCGCTGCTCCCAGACTTGGAAATCAGAAACACCAGCCTCACAAGAGTTATCGGGAGAGCACTAGGCAAAAATGATTACATGTGAACCTGCATCAACAGGCCTCTTGCCACCTTGCATGCAACAAACACCTCATTTGGCAAACAAAAGCTCATGCAGCTCTTTTCAAGCCGTGCCTTCACGCACGCCCTAAGCAGCTGAGCACCCAATGAGTGGCCCAAATCCCGAAGCCATCAGCCCGGCAAGTCAAGAACGGGCAAGATATGAACAGCCCGATCCCGAAGCTGCCTCGTAGCTGCCAAAACACGTCAGCAGTAGCGGTCGACCCATGGCAAGCAGCTGAACCTCAAACGTGAGGTCATGGGTTTCTCCTCATACCCCAATCCGAAGCTCTAAGCACGGGGTAGATGAAGGGTACTGGCTTTGCAGCAGTTTGCTGGGAATCGTCCTGGTGTCTCCCTGAGCCCTCAAAAACCCGATAGAGTAGAGCTACACATGTTTGAGTTGGGTGTCCAGGTGCCATACTTAGGTCCTGGAGTTCTGGAGGTTTTGGGGATCTGAATTGCCCTCTGCGCACCACCTGACTCCGATTAGATTTACGGGTTGTTGGTGAGTCCAAGCGCTCCGTTACCATCGACCCTGTACGGTCTAGCAGCATGTGTCACAACACAAGGAGCCCAAGGTAAACCACTTAGCCGCTGACCAAAGTCTGGATCCAAGGTTTCATGTGCACTGGCACACTTGCACCCAGGCCTGTTGTTTCAGGGGAAGGAACAAAGATTCGCATTCCGAGCACCACTCCATAGACACCCTCAAAAAGGATATGCCGGGCCTGAGTTGAATGCGCAAATGAAGGTGGGACGCTGCAGATGCTGGGGCATCACAGCTTCGTGGGCCAAGCATGCGAAGGTGTAGACCCTGATGCCCGAGTGGGTGAGGACTGCCTGCGCCATGCTGAGTCACTGTGGTTGCGGTTCCTCGCAGCCCCAGGCAACTCGCCTTGTAGAACTTCAGCATGCGCCACCGAGTAACAGTAAGAATGGACAGCAGGCCCTCATCAAAGACTCAAGCCCGGCAAACCTGCTGCCGAAAATGAACTTAGGCCTCCATCGTAAGAGTCACGTCTGTGACATCTGTTTGCGCCTTGTCCTCACTCATCTCGGGTCCAACGAGAACCTAGCAACCGATTGAAGCGACGGCCGGCTGACTATGGTCAACGGGGAGAAGGGGGGACAGGCTCTTCGTCAAGACGCGGCACTTTACTGCACAATGCTGCAGCAGGTCTCTCGCAAAATCCGTTATTTTTGTTGCTAATAATATAGTTATTCTTGTTGCTGCATAGCAAGACTTAAACACCCGAGCCAAGCTTCCACGTCCCAGCCCACTTCCAAGGACCCGAAGAGCCGCTGCCAGCCTCCTTCGCATACTCTGCGGTTTCGGGTTTAGGATTGTTAGGGTTAAAAGGTGCCTTCTGCACAGGAGATTAAGGCACACCGCGCGCGTCCAGCGATCTGGATAATGCCCATAATGTGAAATGCTATGCCATGTGTGGCCCGTCGCTCTCAACCGCTGCTCCACACGCCCTGTCATGCTTGGACTTAACACCTGGAAAAAAGCCTGTCCTTGAACGATTTGGCGCTTCTCGATGCCATCACGGGCTCCGAGCACCCACATCACCTCCAGCGGAACCCTATGTAAGGATTGCGCTTGTTCGGGACCCTTACCACACAGACTTAAAAAAATAACGATTGAGACATGTCCACCCCTGGCCTCGAGCCACTAGTTATCAGTTGCTATGTTAACTGGGTTTGAGCGCGATGTGATTCTTATTTTTCTATTCATATTATTTCAGCGGTCGCCTGAGAAAGAGAGAAACCACAGATTTTTTTGTCCCCCCCACCACCGAAAGTAGTATTATGTCTAGGAGGTTGGGCAAGGAAGAAAGGGAAGAGCGCCCCCGCCACAGGAGATTTTTTGTGATTTCAGCTGTCTCCTGGAAGAAAAGAAGAGAGCCCCCCCCACAGGAGCATTATTATTATTATTATTATTGATTATGATTATTGTGGTTAGTATTCTTATTATGATGAGGATACCTATGATTATGATTATGATGATTGTTCTAATTTCTTACTGCGATTATTATTATCTATTGTTATCATTATTAGTATTAATATTGGTATTAATATAAGTCTTATTATTATCACGATTTATATTTCAGCTGTCTCCTTGAAGAGCCCCCCCACCGAAAGTAGTATGATGTCTGGAGGTCGGGCAAGGAAGAAACGGAAGAGAGCCCCCCCGACAGGATCATTATCATTGTTTTAGCTGTCTCCTGGAAGAAAGAAGGGAGCCCCTCCCACACAACCCTTATTGCTATTGCAGCTCTCCTGGAAGTAGAAAATATTTTTTGTCCCCCACCCCACCGAAAGTAGCATTGCGTCTAAGAGGTCGGGCAAGGAAGAAGGTTCGGAAGAGCCCCCCACAGGATCATTATTATTGTTTCAGCTGTCTCCTGGAAGAAGAGAAGGACCATAATAATAGCAATGCATCGGGGGTGAGGCAGCAGAACAAAAATATCAAAGGCCCGCGGGAGGCTTCGCATGATTTGTGCGAATGCTTCCTGGCTCCCGGAGTGAGCGGTAGACAGCACATCAGAGGAGCCGCGCTTGGGGGGATCGAGCACAATTCGACTCTGTGCAGCCAGTCACGCAACGCCCATTGACAGGCTCTAGTCCTCAGCTTTCCCGCACACCCATCATCATGACTATACCATGATTCACCTTAACACCAACTGTCAATGACCCGCAGGTCTGCCACGTCAGACTGCAGAAACTGCTGCCTTCAAACGGCATCGAACCCCAATGCCAAAGCTGCAATCCCAAAGGACAGACTTGCCTTCTGGAGAAGATGCCAGCATTCAGCAAAAAATCATACTGTGAACCGTACGTAATTAGTCAACTACACAGAATCCCTGAAGCTTTCAACTACCACACTCTACTCGGCATCTTCCGCACCCGAGCAACGGGAGCATCAAAATGCGAGGCCAGGGTCGTGCAAAGGAAGGCAAGCTGTGCAGCGCCTGTCAAAGGCCCAGGGAAAGGGTAGGCGACGGTGTGGGTCGGGTCATAGGTGACCCAAGAATTCTAAAGAAGAAAAAACATCGAAAAGGTTGAAAGAGAAAGTATGGGCCTCTAGCGTTGCCACGCCAAAGCACTGGCGATGCTTCACCCTCTCCACCTAGCAGGCGAATTTCAAGAAGCAACCAACAATGGGCAACTTGAAAGCCCTCGATCGTGTCGTGAGCTGCCGTCCCCTCTTCCAGCAAAGCCAGAGGGTTTTCTCAAGATACATCTGGCACGCTGTGCACGCCACATCAGGACTGATGTGACCGACAAGGTCCACACCTGCTCCTTGCTCGACGCACCTAGCTCGCCGAGATAGTCCTTTCCACATCATCGTTGACAGCAGTGATCCACAGATGACTAAGCGGCAAGCGCACAGGCCCCTCTATATGTGGGTGCATTCCCAAGTGCTCAACTGCGGACGTTTGTCGGGTCGACGAGTTGCAGTGTGTTTGGTGGCCTGACTTTCAATCATCCCTCTACCAGAAGTCTCGGGCCTCGGGCCGCGCATTGCTGCTTTGAGTGCACTAGCCAAAGCCTCAGGCTTCGGCAAATTCTGCGTGCTGAGGCGACACCCCTGCACCCAAACCCGACGACCTCATGTCACAAGCGTCCTGCCAGCCCTTGGCATCAAACGGCCGCAGCTCGCGCCACAAGTCATGAGCGGAGGGCGTTGGAGCCACCTCCAGCTCTCCAAGCAGATCACATGTCAGTTGATGCAGTGTACTTTCTTTCAGCAGACTCGGGAGAGCACGCCCCCTGAGAAGTGTTGGAAAATCTTTGGTTTCAGGCTTGCTGAGGTCTTAGCCCTGACGCCCTACATTTGTATTTTTGCATGCAGACAAGGCTTCGTTTGGGGGTTGCATTTCTGTCAAGACCACGGACAGCAAAGCAACTCGGGGTACGACCCCCAAAGAAATTTCAGACCCTTGTCCAGTATCGAACATAATTTGAGCAAGCTACGCCAATGGCAGCTGTGGTCGTGGTGCAGCTTCGCTTGTGCTGCGGCCAGTGCTGCCGTTGACATGGAACCTCGAGATCATTCAACTGAAGGCTGTCTTGGTACTGCCATTCTTCGTACACCTCCTGAACTCATCTCTGCGCGTGAATATCTCAACATGCGCATTTGACTTTCTAATATTTTCTACTGTCTCGTTGTGGCATACTGCAGCCGCGGGGCGGAGCAGTAGGGCGCCTTACACCTGCTGCATCTCAAAGATGTCGGGCTGGCTGAACAGGCCACGCCTTTGATGCGTCACTGCCAAGCTTCGCTTTTAAGGGCTACCTAGGTACAAATGTGTTGCAGGCATGACCTTGCATCTTAGCCACAAGCGCGGCATCAGTGGAGCATCTAAACAACTACGTCGACTACGTTTTTGTTTTCGCCTTCGTTCTGCCGGTAGCACCTCGTCACGCTTGCAACCTCTGGCTTTGATATTGAAGCTGGGCCTCGCCTGGAGGTATGGCCTGCCACATGCAGCCATGCATCATACCAGTTGTCCGGGCTCCGGCGCTGAATCCACAGCGTCACTGCCAAACCATGCCATGGGAAGTTGGTACAAACCCTGATTTGCCAGTTGTCTAATTATTGAAGATCTGGCTTATGCTGAGAAGGCGCTGCTGGCAGTGAACGCTCTCGACAACCCTGTGTGTCGTATACTAGAGACTTCGACATTCATCGTGACCAAGCCATGTACACACACACACACAGCGCCAAGCCTGAAATGCTTGACGGCAGCTGTGAGACAGTATCGACAATGCATGCCAACAGGGTCTCGCTGTTTAAAGTCTCCACAGGAAGGCACCCTTGACGTCCGCACCACCACAAGACACCACGCTGCAATCGCAAACCCTGCACTTTGGCCGTTTGTCCAAGGCTTTGACGCTAGGGACACTTCATGCAACGACAGCTGTCCAGCTTCTGACACCGGAATCGGCTTCATGTAATCAGACAGGTGCTCAGAAACAAATCGGCACATCTTTGCAGCCTTAGATGATAGCTTTCCGGCTCGACTAGCAAAGCAGCTCAGCTCGAACCCTGTAAGATCACGAACCCCGCTGGTGATTAAACCCAGGTATCGGAGCAGCCCTCCCGCTCAAAGCCAACAGTGTAGTCACTTGCTCCTAACATCCGGCACCCAGATCCGACAGCTGTGAAGATTGCCGGAGTCTTTGCCCGGCAGTTACTACATGACACTGGCACGGTACACCTTCGAACACTCATGGCCAATGACTGAGTAGGGCTGATTTGACGGTCGTGTGGAGGGTAGTGATAATGGTAAGTCGGGAAACGCGACTTTCACTCGCTCAACCAAAGCAAATCGAAATCCGAAGCCGCAGTCGTCGTGTACGGAGATTTTGGTAATGCTAGTACGAAGGGTGTTCGGTGGAGCGTGAGACACGACGGTGACCCTTGTCAACCTGGTCCCCTACCACAACCGCAGAATGCATCTTCTAGTCTGATGACATGCAGTGTTGACAGAATGTTGCTTCCTGCTTGAGCCGGAATCACTCTATCAGCATCTAGTCCAAGTCCTGCAACTCATTGTCGGCACCTGCGAGCTGGAGGGGCATGCAGCTTTAATCACGGCACCTGGCTCGCTACAGCCGAAACATTGGTGATCCTCCTCTGGCTTTGGAATCTGGCAGAAGGCACGATTAGCCGAGACTTCAGCCCCTGCCGTTCCACCTGATGCCACGGCCTTCTTCTTCTCATCCCTGTAGGCCTCCTCAGCTGC